AGGCACTTTTGGTGTACAGTGCTCTTCCTGTACTTTTTCTGCCATCAGGGTAGCATTTAGGATTTTTTTTTTTCTGAAAATAACCATCTGGGTTTGTTTTTTTTTTTTTCCAATAACTGTCTAGATCGGTCATTTAGCATGAATCACCTAATTCATCCCAGATTTTGGACTTTGATATTTATTTTGAGATATTTCTTATTTTGGAGCACAGCAAAGGGTACATTTCTCAGACCATTTTACCCATTTCATCCTGTAAAGAATGAATAACAATTACCTAACTTGAAGATTGTTGCTTAACCACAGTTGTTAAGTGAAATCATACTCTGCTCATGGTTCAAGTATACATCTTTGCAGCAAAGGAAAGACAAATAAATTATGATGCTAACCAACATTGGATAATTAGATGCTTGATATGGGCAGGAGAAGGGAAAAAACATTGAAATTGGTGTATAGAAGTGGACAGTTTGTACTGCAAAAGCCAGTAATGAGTCCTGGAGCCATCTGACCTCTGGTAAGTCCTTTTTAATGTATAAAAACTCAACATTTTAGTCTGAGGCTGATGTGTTAGAGTAGATATTCAGGGAGAGTGGCCAACACAAGTTTCATACTACTGCATCCACTGGACACTTTTTCTGCAAGAAAATCATCAGGGCATCTCCACAGTGCAGGATCTCAGCACTAACAAACCTCCACGAGCTGGTTTGGGTTCCCTCAGAGCCTGTCAGACACTTGGATTTCAGCTGGAGCTTTGGGAGTGCCAGGAATTGCTCCATTGTGCTGCTGGCCCTGAGGATGCTGATTTGGGCAGGGCAGAGCAGACAGGTAGAGCAGGGATGGCTTTTGTCCACAGGGAATAATTGATGGCAAGGTGTCTTTTGTACTCACATTTCCTTAAGCACTTTCCTCCTCCCAGTGTAATTAGTGCCACCAACAAGTCATGGTTTGTGTGGGTAAATGTTTCCAGGGAATGGCAGAGAAGGAATGAAATCATCAGTTCTGTGATCTGCTGAGGGGCACAGCCAGCACTGAGGAATTTAAAATTTCAGGGTCTAAAGAAGGCAGTGAAACCCCATTTCCCTGTGTGCACAAGAGCATGAATGTGTCTAAAAAGCAAAATGTTGGGAGGAGATGCAAAAAGCCCCTGCAAGCTGTGCTGCTGGTGGAATTCCCTTCCCTCTGTGCCATGTGCTGACACAGGACAAAGCAGCCTTGAATGGGAATGTGTGACATCCCATTTCCATGGGAAATGCTCCTGTCAGGCCACAGAGGTACAGGATGTCCAAGCAGCACCTTTGGCACTGAAAGGGCTCTGTTCTGGTAATCTCATATTTGCAGAGAGTTTCTGCTGGAGGCTGAGCAGCCAAGGCAGGGGAAGATTCCTTTATTCACATCATCCCAGCACCAGGTTTATTCCCATTATTCACATCATCCCAGCACCTGGATTATTCACATAATCCCAGCACCAGGTTTATTCCCATTATTCACATAATCCCAGCACCAGGTTTATTCACATAATCCCAGCACCAGTTTTATTCCCCTTATTCACATAATCCCAGCAGCAGGAGGGTGAGCAGGACACAGCCCAGCAGGACAATAACAATGGATAAGCAAGAGCTGGAGCACACACTGAGCTTTTTGAAACTCCTCCCCGTGATGGATTTGTCAGAGCCATCACAGAGTCTTACCTGTTCCCTCAGGAGCTCAGGCTGTCATCAGGCTGACGCTGAGCAAACACACTCTCAAAGCATCAGGAACATTTGCTCACATACAGTTCTTGTATTCACTTTTCCCAGGGTTTTGAGTCATCTCAGCAAATCTGGGAGTTGATTTTTGTTGGTTTTTTGTTTGTTTTTTTAACCTGGCATCCTATGGAAGTAGCAAATGTTCAGTCACATGGATGTGTGTAAGTGTGTTTGGGGTTTTTTTCCCCTCTGTTTTCCCATCCCTTCCCCCAGTATATTTTACACCTAATGGCTATTTTCCCTCCTAATTCCAGTCAGAAAATTAAAGAACCATGTTTTACTGGAGACCACTCTGTTCCCCTGTCAAATCCTTGGCTTCTCACAGGCATTGTCATCCCTTTGGAAGATGAGGTGAAACATCAGTGAGGGATGGTGGATTTGACTCTGGCACACTCATCTTCTGCAAGGAAGCTACAGAAGTGAAACTATGCTCATTCAATCACCTACCTACAGAGAAAAAACAAATAAATTTTAAAAAATAAAAAAGGAACAATGAATTATTGAAGCCAAAGCCAAAGCAAATAATTCAGAGACAGTCCATGAGGTGAAATAAGTTCTCATTCATTTGTGGGCTGTAAAGTCCAAACAATAAAGGTACTTTAAATATGCTCTGCTCACTGATAGCTCATAAATAAAAGAAATGTAAGTATGTCATATTCCCCAGTAAATTTTTAAAAAGCAAATGACCGGATTTTTAAAAAGTCTGACTTTTAAATGTGTCAGGAATGGAGAATTTACTTTTTACACACATTCATACTCTTGTTCACACAGGGCAGTGGGATTCCACTGCTTTCTTTAGACCCTGAAATCTGAAATTCAAATTCAACAGTCCTTGCTCATGGGTGAGGCAGCTTTGGGATGCTCACCAAAGTTTTGCTTTTTGGCTCCCCACCCTGTTCCTTCTCAGGCAAGGCAAATCCCCAGAGCTGAGGTTGCCACAAGCAGTGAGAGGTGGTGGTTTGCTGCTGGTTCCTATCAGATCTATGTGTCCTGACATTTTCCCACTGCTGCTGATCCACTGCTGCCCTGCTGGGCTTGAAAAGGGCAGTGGAATCTACACCTGCACAGCAGCAGGAGGGAAAACATCAGCTCATTCCAGAGCAAGGCTGCTTTCTCAAGCTGAAGTCAATAAACATTATTTTTAGGTATGTATATAACACTACTATGCAGTCTCTCTCACTGGCTAATGAAGATTTGTCTCAATTTTGTAAAAGATTTCCAGTGTTTTCACAGAATTATCAACATTGGAAGAGACCTTAAAGTCATCCAGTCCCACCATCCCCAGCCCCACCAGCATCACCCCAAACCCTGTCCCCAAGGCCACATCCAGACTCCTCCTGAGCACTCCCACAGACAGTGACTCCAAACCTCCCTGGGCAGCCCAGCCCAAGGCCTGACCACTGTTTCTCTGATTTTTTTTCCATTTTCCAACCTGAGCCTCCCCTGGAGGAGTTTAAGGCCTCATTCCTCCCCTTGGGACACAGCAGCAGAGCCCAACCCCCCCTCACTGCCCCTCCTGCCAGTGAGTTGTAGAGAAACAAATTTATTCTTTATTTTTGTAAAGAAACAGCTCTTTCTTCTCCCTTCCCTTCCCTTCCCTTCCCTTCCCTTCCCTTCTCCTTGTAGAACCAAAAGCCCAGAGAAATCCATTTTTGTGGTTCTTTTTTTCTTTCTTTTCAAAATTTTTGCTTTAACATGCTTTAGGATGCTTTTTCCTTCCAGGATAATCTGATGACTGGAGCACAGTGACTGAACTTTGGGACTGGTGTACAAAGGGATCAGGTCACCATCAGATGTTTCTGAGAAGAACCAGCTCATTTGCTCTAGGCGAAGCTGTTTTATAGCTGATACACAGCTGTGACAATTATTTTAGGAATTATCTGAGTCCTTATCTTTATAAAAAAAATAATAGGAGTGCTTGTTTGATTATCAAAACATGAGTATTAGGGCTTGGCAAATGAAGAGTTAAGGCACCTGTGCACTTTCATCCCAAAGCGTCTTTGAGTTGTGGGACACAAACCTCAACTCAATTAAGTGACTGCAAAAATTCTCGGAGCACACACAATTTATGTGTGTGATGAAACAAGAAATCAGGAAAAGTGCTGGAAAATTTGAAATTAATAATCCATCATTTAAACACCTACATCCTCTGTATGGGGCTGCAAACCTGTGTTACCCCCTAGCATAAAAGAACCTGGAAATTCTTTCCACAAATGCCAGGCAGACCCTGCCTACAGTGGTTTGAGAGAACTGGTTCACTCTGTAATGGGTAGAGAAACTGTCTGGATTAACTGAAGCTTATCTTTTCAAACAAGTACCTGGATGTTGCCCAGGCTGCCCAGAGAAGCTGTGGCTGCCCCTGGATCCCTGGAAGAGTCCAAGGCCAGCTTGGAGCATGGGGCTTGGAGCAACCTGGAACAGTGGAAATGATCACTTCCAAACCAAACCATTCCATGATTCCGTGTACGTTTTTCCCCACAGGAGAGCTAAAAATTTACACAAATGAGCAGTTGTAAGTGCCTCATGCCCTCCTCACCACCACCATCCTGCCCCACCCGCAGACACCCCACGGGCCCCTGCAGTGTGTGCTCCTTTCTCCCTGAATTCCATTCCTGGTGCCACCTCTGTGCTCAGCCTGCTGGATTTATTTGCTTTATAGAACATTGTATGGCAGACTGCAGCACTGCATTCCACCAGGCCACACGGTGCCAGGAAGCTCATCACAGTACAGTAAAAAAAATGAGTGATATGATGCCAAAAGTCACAGAAACACAGAAGGCTTGGGGTTGAAAAGGACCTTAAAGATCATCTGGTTCCAACCCCCCCATCTTCTCATCATTGTCAGCCTTGGTGGCTCTCAGGCCAGACCCAATTAAAACAGCTTTTCCTTGCCAAAGCTTTAGAGGAGCAGAATCTCTAGAACTCAGAGAGCTGCCAAAGTGATATGAGTCAGAAATAATTTCAAATTCCCACTAAAAAAGCCTCTATAACAGAGATGCTACATGGACACCACTGGTTTGTCACCTGTCCTCTGGCCACTGCAGTGACCTGCAGAATTCCCAGGGCTCTGTGCCAGAGCCAAATGCCTCCTTCAAGCACTCAGCTCTTTCAACATCTCCGGGGTACTTCACCCTCTCCCCGTGCCACAAAGAGATCAGGAACTGCTCAAATTAAATTCATTTATTAATGGAATGGTTTTAGTAGACCAAAATTGATTTGGATGAAAGGAATGCTTGTCCTTTATGGCTGCCAGAAAAAGTAAATATTGTCTACAGACATTACACAGCTTTCTTTTAACCAAAATTAAATACGGTCCGGAGCAAAGCAAGCAATCTGTAGAATTGTATTGTTATGCTGCTGTTACAAACTATTTACACTGGATAAAAACCAGATGTCTCAAAGCCAGCTATAACACTAGGTGATTACTGTTGTGATCCTGTGTGCGTCTTGCCCTCATCTCCCCTTTTTGCTATCAGATATAAATCAGGCATTAGCAAGGTTAAAAAAAGGATTGTTTTAGGAGTGATCCTAAAACAATCACAGAACAAGCTCTGAGCAGCAGAGACAGAGAGCGAATGTTCCTCCCCACCACCCAGCACTGCTCTGTCACATTCCTTTGAGATTTCAGGAGTTTAACCCCTCCCTGAAGCTCTTCCCACATCCAACCATCTGTCTCTTCAATCAACTTACTTTCAGTGCCAGGAATCCCCACGCAGGTGATCCCTGGTAGGAGAATATACATTTTAAAGATACATATTTCAAAGGAGCACGCTTTTCTCTAGCAGTGCTGTGTGCTGTCCCTGCATGTTCACAGTAAAACCACGTCAAATAAATATTTGAGGGAATCAGCACAGTGAGTCCAGTTTCACTTTCCAAACGGAAAGTGGCGTGTCTGCTTTCAGTGGTGGCATCAGGCAGAGGTTTAACACAAACCCAATTTTGCTAAGTCACAATCAGGAACAAAGAAATCCTGCCTAATTACAAAGTACTTGATTAACAGCTCAGCCAAAGGGGTCGATTTACTGTACACCAAAGCTATTTGCTGAAATAGGACTGAAAAGGAAATAATCCTGAAAAGGGCTTCACTTCTGGTTTCACAGCAGACATACAGCACAGAAAGTATGTTTTTTTTCAGTTTGCAGAAAAAGGATTATTCAGAATAGTTTTTCCATCCAATCAAACATTACTCTGCTGTAACAACATTGTTCTCAGTTCCCTCTCTCTTTGGTCCTCCTGCCTGTATTTCTCCTCCAGCTTTTGCTTTTCAGAGTCCATGCTGTAAAAAGTAGAATCTGTGCTTCTCCTGATCTTCTCAAACTGACTGAAATCCGCCACGTACTTTCCATTTGGAGAGAGGGAAACCACAGGCACGAACTCGTAGCCCCAGTGGATCTCCTCGGGGACGTAGGAAGTCCTGCTCTGGCAGACAGCACTGGTGGACTCCACCGTGGCATTCAGGAGCACCACGAGCTCAAAGTCCTTCTCCTTGAGGTTTTGAGGTGTGAGGTCTCTCAGAGGGCTGCTTTCATCCAAAATGTGGTAGAAGGTTAAAGGCAAAATGAGAAATGGACTCTCCGAGGAGGAGTCAACGTTGAATTTGACACTGGCTTGGTTCAGCAGAATCCTCTCCCCTTCTTTGGTTTCGTAGGTCTGAAGAAGCTTCCCAGAGAGCTGACACTGTATCAGGAGGCTCTTCCTCATGTTTGCCACTCTGATGACCAGGCAAAGCTCCCCGTTGTGCTTGGTGATGACAGCACAGTGGCTGAATTTAATCGTCTCTGCCCTTTTCTTTGGCCTGGCGATCTTGGCCAGGAAGGTACCTGTGATGAAGATCTCAATCAGGGTGGTGATGACCAGCTGGGCCACAAGCAAGAAAATGGCATGGGGACACTCCTCGGTGATGAAACGAAATCCATAGCCAATGGTTGTCTGGGACTCCAGGGAGAAGAGGAATGCCCCAGTCAGGGAATCCACATTCTTCACGCACGGCTCCCGCTTTGGGGAGAACTTGTTCATCTCCAAGTCGCCGTGAAGGAAGGCGATGGCATAGTAGATCACCCCAAAGAGGAACCAGGTCATGACAAAAGTAGCAGCAAACAGGGTGAGTTTGTACCTCCACTTCATGTCTATGACTGTGGTCCACAGATCCTGCAGGTAGAGCAGGTAGATGCCGTCGACTTTGTCTATCCTGACGTTGCTGTGGCCACTCTTGGACATCACGCGGGGTTTGTGCGCCTTGAGCATGGCGCTGTCGATGCCGCTGCTGACCAGGGGCACGCGGGACATGTTGATCTTCGTGGGCTCCATCCTCACTGCCTCAGTCCTGGGGAGAGAAGAAAAGAAAGCTGCTGCTTAATGAAGCCAGAGACGATCCCGAGGAGTATTTGAAAATGTTGATGGAGAGAAGCACAAGCATCATCTAAACACAGCAGCAGTGAATAAAAACAGCTGGAATATAAAGTTACCACCATACAGTATCTGACATCACAAATAATTTGATAATTTTTTTTTTCCAGGGAAAAAAAAAAATCATTCTTTGATTCTGGTGCCTGCCAAGTACGGAGAAGTAGGTTTCTTTTATGATAGCCTGCAAAAGAAATTTGTCAAAGCTGAAATTTTATATCAGTACTTTATTTCTGTAAAAGGCATTAAATATATTTTTTTTTCCTTACGTTTCTCTAGAGAAGAGGCTCTTTTTGATTAGTGAGCAGGTTTTCTTTAATGCCCTGAAGAGAGACATCTGATCAGAATTAAAGTCGCTGGGTTCAGAACGCAGATCCAGCTCACCACCTCTGTCCCTTCCTGCGACAGAGGCAGAATGAGCCAGACCAGCTTTCACTGGGAACAATTAACTTCCACAAGTGATTTACTCAGTCGGATCTGGCTCTTTGTGACGGACCTACAACCAACCTAGAGGGAAACAAAGCAGACCTGAGCACATCAAAGGCGAGGTCTGGAATATTTACACCTGGGTGCAACACTCTGAAGCTGTCTGCACTGGACAGCACTCCCACATTTTAAGCTGAGGGAAGAAAGAAAAAAAATATAAAAAAAAGAAAGTAATTCACAAAGTCAGCATTCTAAAAGTGGGCCCTGACCTGCACGACCCCAGCAATCACTGGAGCACCCGACTGCTGGATTTGTTTACTGGGCATCAGTCAGGATGGAGAGGGAGAGTGCGGGCACCAGGGCTGGGCAGAGCCCCCGGGGTGAGGCAGAGCCCTGCCCGTGCCAGCTGGAGGAGGCACGGAGCAGGACCCGGCTCACAGGACCAGACAGAGATTACGTAGAGCAAGGACAGTGCATGTTATAGTCGTTCCCAACAACAAAACTTCCTGCTGACAAAAGCAACAAAGAAAAAAAACATCCCATGCATCCTTTGTGCTTTGGCAGGTCTCACAAAAAGGCATTGTTTTGTCCCATTGTTTTCCTCAAAAAGAGCCTCCAAGTCAGTGATTAGTTTTCGCCAACTGCTGGAAAAAAAAATGAAAAGAAAAAAAAAAAATGTCTTCCTTATAGCTACTTAAAAGAAGTTTGCAGGAAGTACAAGATATATTTGTGGGACACACATGTGCCAGCCCAGGACATCAGCATAATTGCTCACTGAAGTACCTTTCCTGTTATGTCAATTAAGGAGAATTTTTGTTTGTGACTATACTCATCACACTGTTGCAGGTTTTCTGGGAAAGGGTAATTAAACTTAGCCCTCATTAACAACTGTAGCTCATTACAGCTTTGGTTTAATCACCAACATTTCTCTTCCACAGCCCTGAACCATTGCCACAGATATATATTTATGTAAGAAAGGAGTGCATCCATGATCCCAGTGGGAGATTCCTTATGTGACAGTCAAATCAACACACAGAGCGCAGCATGTCCGGATAATAAACAGGAAAAAACCTTCAAGTGATCTGAAAAAGAACAACGGGAGGAAATGTGGGGGCTGGGAGGAGTAGGGCTGGGAAGGACTGTACATGCAAGTGCTCTTCAGGCCAGCCCAAACCCAGCACTGCTGTCAGGGGAGGTAAATATGTGCAGCCTCTAAAGGGAAACCCTTCAGCAAGTGCATGTTCCTTAGGGAAGAGGCTCCATTCCCCGCACCAAGCCTCTCCCTGGATGGGACATGGATTTAAAACATGCCCAAAGTCTGTTCTGAAATCAGTACACCTTGCCCTCTCAAGCACATTTCCTCTTAGACTTCACCTGCACACTGTCAGAATGAGTTTCCCTGCCACAAATTGCTGTGCCAGAGCTATTTGGGATCTCTGCTCCAGTGTTGGAGACACGTCCCCATCCCACCCCCTGCTCAGCCTACCTGGACAGCTGCTGCTGGGAGCAATTCCCAGGGCTGACAGCTCCTCTTCCCCTAGAGGTCAGAGGGATGGGGACAGCCAGGGCTCCACCATCCCTCCGTGGAGCTCCAGCTGGTGGGTTTGGGCTGGAGGAGCAGAGCCAGAACTTCCAGGGTGTCCGAAGGTCAGAGTTACCTGTCCAAGGGCAGGGATGGCCCAAGAGCACTCACTCTCCACACCCACCATGGCTCTGCCATGCCCAGGAGACCCCAGATCCTGCACAGGGGCTGGTTTCTGTGTGGGATGCAGTGGGAATAACAACCGTGACGGAATCATGGTTGATGGTTTAAGTTCCATTCCAACCCAATGGTTTGGGTTGGAATGGAACTTAAAACCATCCAGTGCCACCTCTGCCATGGCAGGGACACCTTCCACTGTGCCAGGCTGCTCCAAGCCCCAGTGTACAACCTGGCCTTGAACACTGCCAGGGATCCAGGGGCATTGCCAGGGATCCTGGAAAACCTGTGCCAGCCCCTGCCCACCCTCTCAGGGAAGGCAAAGATTCATCCCTCCCAAGGGCCTGGTAACATTCCTTGTCCTCTCTCTGCTCTGCCCAGGAATAGGTTGTTCCTTGTCCACAGCCCCAAATGAAAAGAATGCAGCAGCCTCCCACATTTCCAGACCTGCTAAAGGACAGCACCACAGACACGACACCAAAATGCCACAGCAGAAGAGTTCCCCTCAAAAGATGGGAGGTAGGAAGGAATTTTCAAGGCACAGTCTCTTCCCTGGGCTGCACCAACAGACCTGTAAAATTTGACATTTCAGGTTTTAAGCTGAGAAGTGAAGTTTTGGTGCAGCCCTGGACAAGTCTGGCACACTCCAGGCTGCTCCAAGGCTGTTCCTCACTGCCCATCTTCCCTGTCCCATGTGTAATATTGATCCCACATGTGGCAGAGCGGGAAATTTTGGAGCCTGCCATAGGTGAATGAGGCTTTTTCAGAGCTGTCTCATCATCTTTTGTGTCCTCCCTTGATTTGTGACAAAGTTACTCAGCTTTACTTCCTGAAATGGATCCCAGCCAAATCCTGGTGCTTTTTTTGGTGGCAGGGTATTTTTTGTGTTGATTTGCTTCCTATTTTCTTTTTTTTTCTCTCACATCACTCTTTCCTGCGTGATCCTGAATTCCTCTAGTGCTCTTTTCCTCCCCAGGGAAATTCCTCTTGGTTTCCTTTCCCTGCAGAAATACTTCTCTTCTCTGCCACAGTGACATGGGAAGAGAGGATCTGTCACGCTGCCTCCCTTATCACTGGCAGCAGCCAGCAGCAATCACTTGGGGGAAGAAACTCTGATGAAACCATCAGTAGAAGAAAAAAGAAAAAAAGGGCTTCATATGAGGATTCTCTCCTGCCCCCACTTGCCCACTGCTTCCTGAGTGAAGTGACCACTACAATATCCCAAAATAAATTATTTATGGGTGTCTGTATGTGTAAAAAATCACATTATAGCACCTGCATTGCTATTTCCCATCTTATAGAGGCACCTCACACTCTCTGCCCTGACAATCAATCCCAGCCAAAGTACTTTGGTTTGCTTGGTTTATGCTCACTCTAAATCACAAAGCACATCTACCACAGTAAGTTAATATGAGCAAACAAGCTTAAATAATAAGAGTAATAAACATTTTTAAATTAAAAGAACAACTTCTGTCTGTTCCCTAACTGATTTTACACCGATAAATTACTTTTTATTGCTGTAAATCAAAGTGGAGCTGCAAATAAAACTGAGCTGAAGCAGAGTTAAGGAAACACACTTCAAGAAGGAAGAAAATGAAATTGTCTCAGGCTTGTCTAGCATTCTAATACCCTCTGAATTACCTCCTCTCCTCACAGCCCTTTTGGAGCAGCCAAAGGAGCCTCCAAGTTCAGTGCAGACAAAGTCAATAAAACACAGAGCTACATACCAAGCCACCAAGCATGAATACCTTGACCTTAAGGTAATTCCAGCAGCCAGGGATCTAACCAGCACACTGCCACTGCTTCCAGGGAGCACATTATCAGGGAGCCAGCCTGCACACACGCAAAAATGTTCCTCTTGCATGGAGCCAGCTTTGCTTGTGCAAGATCTCTCTTGGCAGACACAAGTGATTAAAAGCCTACAGGAGCATGACTTGTTCGAAGGGCCTCAGCTGTTTTTCTTTTTTTTTTTTTTTTTTTTTTTCCCCTCAATCAGATGTGGCTTTGCCACTGGAGCAAATCCTCACGCATGCTTCGCTGCCACTCCGATACGGGGGCAGAACTTGAGCTGTTTTTTCAAGCAGCACAAAAAACCATTAGCAGGCTTGGCAAGGAAAAAATGAAAAGCCAGGGGTGAGGAAAGAAAACATTGAGGAGGGCTGCATAATCTTCAGATCTTTCCTAGGTCTGATGTGGTTCAGTAGGTTACAAAAGTGCCTCCTGAATTCTCAGTGCTCTGCGTAGCATGAACATCCTCCTCCCTCTGGGCTGTGCACCAGGTTATGCTGTACAACTGTCAACCAGCAAAATCCTCCTCATGGCTCAGCTGTGGAATTCACAGGAGTGGAGGGAGGGAAGGAGAGGCTGGAAAAGGGTGCTTTGCCTCTGGCACAGCCACACAGCTGGACACTGCTAGCCTGGGCTCCAAAAGGAACCCTTCAGTGCTAGGACCCACTAGGGAGTGGTGACAGGCCAGCTTGAAAAGCTGAACTTACACATTTTTGGCTTTTATCACAAAAAGACTGAGGCAAGAGAACCGTAAATACACTCTCAAGTCAAAATCAGCTCCCAAAGTTTGCCTTCAGCTGCCACCTTGGAGCCACCATCAGCACAGGGCAGCCCTGGGAGTGGTCACTCTTCCCAGTTTGGGTACCAGGAGCAGGTGAAAGCAGGGACACGTCCTGGGCCAGCACAGGGAGGGCAGAGAGGTGCACTGCTAAAGCCAGAGATGGGGTTTACATCACTCACAGCAGGGTCAGGGCAATAACCATTTACAGAGCAATGTAAGGAAGCAAAAACCCAAACCCATCTGTCTCTACCTGCTGGGCATAGAAGATGGATTAAAGCTGGAGAAGTCTCATGTGTGTTGTTTCTGAGGGAGATTTGTCCAGGAATGTTGTTGTCCCCCAGGACAGGGTGCGAGGCTTTGCAGTAATTATGGATTTATACAGAGGAGCCTTTGGAACTACGCTGATGCAAAGAAATAGGAAAACAACCAAGAAGGCAGAATGGAGGCAAAAGATGACTCAAAGCTTATTAAATTAATGGAGAAGCTCCCAGTGATTCCCAAGGCCTCCAAGGGGAGAAAAAGCACATCCTGCAAGGGTGTGAGCAGTTAACACTCTGTAAGTGAGCATCCACCCTCCCAAAATCCTGGCCTCCAGCCTCTGTCCTGGGCTCTGGGGATGAGCAGGGCCTTGGCCATGCACATCCTTCAAGTTCACCAAAGTGTTCTTTCAGGAAGAAATTAATAAACTCCTCAC